TTTTTGTGCATTTGTTTTTTTGTTATGAATTAGCTAATATCTATAAATATATATATATAAATAAATATATATATATATATATATATAAATCTATATATATAAATATATATATAAATAAATATAAATATATATAGATTTATTTATTAATATAACTATTGCTTGTGAATTTTTGCGCATTTGTTTGTTTGTTATGAATTAGCTAATATATATAAATATATATATAAATATATATATAAATAAATATAAATATATATATATATATATATAATTATTAACATAACTATTGCTTGTGAATTTTTGTGCATTTGTTTGTTTGTTAGGTTTAGCGTAGGCTATCGGTGCGGTTCGAAGTGTTTAGGCGTGGGAATTAGTTTAAATGTATTATCATCGATATTATCTTTTTGTAGTTATTTACACTTCTTGATATTTATATCTTCTCGGTGGATGGGGAGGCACATGCATTTACAAGGTGAATATACACTCAGCGTCTTCAGCGACCTACTTAATATCTTCTCTTTATTTATATTAGGCATCGGATTCACCTTACTACAGCTTTATCATGATAAGGGGACTTCAAATACGCAAGCTCTTGCTGTTCTTGCTCTCTTCACTGCAACCGCCATCTCCAGTAAACCCTAAACCCTAAACCCTAAACCCTAAATAGAACGCACTAAAACCCTACATATTAAACCTGTAGCTGTTGCTGTAATAAACCCTTAACAATTAACCCTAAACCCTACACATTTAACCCTTAGATACGGGTGTACTCGCTATATTCACTTCAATCACTACTGCTCCTAAACCCTAAACCCTAAACCCTAAACCCTCAGCTGCTGTGTGTCTCACCATTGACGTATTTCTTTCTCCAGTAAAAAAGCAAAATAATATAAATAATATAATATAAACAAGTAATATAATATAATAGAATATAATATAATAATAATATATGTATTGATTGTTTGTTTGTTTGTGCATGCAGAACTATGCGAGTTATACTTCTCTGTCTCTCTTTGCTACCGTTTGCTGCATTTCTTCGCTTTGTTTTGCTGCCTGCGCTGGGGTAGAGGATTTGAACCCTTAGCAGAGCGGTGGAGCCCAGAGCTGCACTCTAGAAAGATAGATGAGAACATCCTCCCGAATCCTAGACCGCAGCAGCAAGGGGGTGCAGCAGCAGGTCAAGAAGCAGAAGCTTACACATATGCTGCTGTGCCAGTTGATACTCCTGCTGCTTCCCCTGCTGAAGCAGCAGCAGCAGCAGCAGCAGCAGCAGCAGCAGCAACAAGCTCTTTCTCGAGGAACAGCACACTTCATAACGCACTTAGCCGCTCTCTTAGTGGGATGGAGACAACATACGATTACGATATACTGCAGCAGCAGATCAAAGCACACGCACAGCAGCAGGCGCAGCAGCAACAGCAGCAGCAGCGGCAGTAACGCCCATGCGAATGATACACCGCTACAACACGCTGCAGCAGCAGCAGGCGCAGCAGCAGCAGCAACAAGTGCAGCGGCAGCAGACGCAGCAGCAGCAGGTGCAGCATGAGCAAGCGCAGCAGCAGCAAGTGCAGCGGCGGCAGGCGCAGCAGCAGCAGGTGCTGCAGTAGCAGAAGGTGCTGCAGCAGCAGCAGGTGCTGCAGTAGCAGAAGGTGCTGCAGCAGCAGCAGGTGCTGCAGCAACAGAAGGTGCTGCAGCAGCAGCAGGTGCTGCAGGAGGAACAGCAACTGCAGCAGCAGCAAGTGCAGCAGCAGCAGGCTTTAGTACGACCGTAAGAGACAGCTTAGCATTTGGCGTCTCCTTTTGTGTTTGTCTCTCTTAATTTATTCAAAGAGAGGAAATATAAATCTGTGATTATTTAAATGCAATTCAAACAAACTAAGTAATTCAAACCCACAAAAGAAATCAACACGCGGAGCTGCACATACACCTCAGAGCTGCACATACACCTCAGTGCTGCACATACACCTCAGAGCTGCACATACACCTCAGAGCTGCACATACACCTCACATACACCCCAGAGGCGTATATACATTCAGAGGTGCGCATACACCTCAGGGCTGCACATACACCTCAAAGGTATCCATACACCTCAAAGGTGCATATAGACCTCAGAGGTGTCCAGACACCCCAGAGCTGCAGATACACTTGAGAGGTGCAGATACACCTCAAAGGTGCAGATACACCTCAGAGGTGCAGATACACTTGAAACTGCGAAGCAAACGTTGTTAAGCAATTGAGGTGTACGTACACCTCAGCGCTTCAACAAAAACTCAGAAGAACCACAGCCAAGACACCTCGTCTCCTAAACACAAACAGATACGCAGCAAACAACAATCTATGCAGCAGCAGCAGCAGCAACAGCAGCAGAAGCTGTCGTTTGCTGTTCTTGCTGTTGCTGCTGCTGCTGTGAACGCACGAGCGGCCCCTAGCGTGAGGCTGTTTGCGTTTAGGGTTTAGGGTTTAGGGTTTAGGGTTTATGGTTTACGTTTGTAAGGAAGCGCTTCTCCCTCCCCTTCGCTACAAACAGCTGCGACCCGCACTGGGCGCACTCTATCCGAGGCTGCTGCTGCTGCTGCTGTTGCTGCTGCTGCTGCAGCAGCTCCCTCACGCCCTCGCCGCTGAGTTTATTGATTGTCGCTCTACCTCGCTTTGCTGCAGCTGCACAGACACCCAAAGCAGCAAACAACAGTCTTCACATTGCTGCGTTTGCTGCTCCTGCAGCAGCAGCAGCAACAGCAGCAGCAGAACTAGCAGCAGCAACAGCAGCAGCAGCGGAACTAGCAGCAGCAACATCAGAAGCAGCAGCAGCGGAACTAGCAGCAGCAACATCAGAAGCAGCAAGACATACATTTCGGTTCCTTGGCAGCAGCAAGAGGTTCTGCTGCTGTTGCTGTTGCTGCTGTTGCTGTTGCTGCTGCTGCATTTAAGGGTTTGCTGCTGTCGTTCTGCAGCCCCCAAAACCTCAACAGTCGAGCCCATATACCCAGCTGCTGCTGCTGCTGCTGCTGCTGCTGCTGCTGTTGCTTCTGCTGCGGTTGCTGCTGCTGGTGCTTTCTCCCTGGGTGCTGCCGCTGCCTCTGTCTCCTTTGTTGTGGCTGTTGCTGCTGTTGCTGCTTTTGCTGCTGCTCCTCTTGCTGCTGCGTTTGCTGTTCTTCTCGTTGCTGCTGTTGAGGCTGTTGCTTCTGCTGCTTCTCCTTTTGTTGTTGCTGCTGCAGCAGCAGCTGTTGCAAAGGTTGCTGCTGTTGTAACTCTTTAGAACCCTTCTGGGGCGCCTGATCCACCAATGCTGCTGCTGCTGCTGCTGCTGCTGCAGGTCGCTGCTTGTGCTGCTGCTGGTGTTGCTCTTGCTGCTGCTGTTGCTTTTGCTTACGAGAGCGGTGGTGCTGCTGCGGCGTTTGTTGCTGCAGAAGCGGCTGCTGCTGCTGCTGCTGCTGCAGCAGAGCTGGCTTATGAGATAGATGAATGCTGCTGCTTGTCTTTGGTGATTTGCTGCCGCTGTTGCTGCTGCTGCTGCTGTCGCTGCTGCTGCTGCTACGTGCTGCTGCATGCAGCGGCCGCAGGGAAGACGATGGTGCTGCTGCTGTTGCTGCTGCTGTTGTGTTGAGACACCTCAGGAGTTGCTGCTGCTGCTGCAAGACCAAGCCGAAGCTGCTGCCACACTCGCATGCAAACAGCAGCAAATGCAACAGCAACGGCAGCAGCAGCAAACGCAGCCTCTCTGTATGCATTGTGCCCCCTGTAACCGGTGTTGCTGTTGCTGTTGCTGCTGGCTTGCTGCTGGTGCTGCCGCTGCTGCTGCAATTAGCAGCAGCAGCAACGACAGCAGCAGCAGCAGGTGAGGCACTAGCGAGAGCCCCAGCTGCTGCAGCAGAGACAGCGGAGCCTTGGGAGTGTGTTATCTTCAAATGCTACTGCTGCTGCTGTTGCTTTTGCTGTTGTTGTTGCTGCTGCTATTGCTGTAGCTGTTGCTGTTGTTGCTGCTGCTATTGCTGTAGCTGTTGCTGTTGCTGCTGATTTTGTTGCTGCTGCTGCTGCTGCTGCTGCTGTGTCTGTCCGTATGGCGGCGGCTGCTGTGTGTTATCTGCTGGGGGTTCCCACTGCTGCTGCGGTTGCTGCTGCTGCTGCAGTTGCTGCTGCTGTTGCTGCTGCTGCTGCTGCTGCTGCTGCGGTTGTTGTTGTTGCTGCTGCTGTTGTTGCTGCTGCTGTTGCTGCTGCTATTGTGTGTGTTTAAGTCTGTAATGTTTTGCTGCAGCAAAAGGAGAGGAGACTGAGGGGTAGCTGCAGCCCTCAGGTGGGGGGCCCCCGGCGCTGCCGACGAGAGCTCCAAACCCTAAACCCTAAACCCTAAACCCTAAACTCTAAACCCTAAACCCTAAACCCTAAGCCTTCGACCTAAAGTGTGTTTGCATAAAGATCCCCTTACAATATTTTTTGCTGCATTCATTGGGAGCAGCAAACCCCCAGCTGTAGCAGCTTCTCCGCAGCTTCAGCGGCTGCTGCTGCTGCTGCTGCTGCTGCTGTTGCTTCGTGCTGCAGCAGCAGCAGCAGCAGCAGCGAGACAACCGAAGGGCAGCAAAAGGATAATTCATTAATTGGGAAGCCCTTTGACTTAAACAGTCTTTCTTTTGTCTCTACACAACTATAACCACTATCACTTCTGCAGCAGCAGCAGCAGCAGCTGCAGCAAGAAGCCAGCAGCAGCAGCAGCAGCAGCAGCAGCAGCAGCAGAAAGCCAGCAACAGCAACATCAACTCGCCGAAGGGAAGCTACAAACGAGATCCGGAGCTGCAGCAGCAGATCTATTTCCTTCCGAAGAAGCTGAAGCAGCAGCAGCAGCCGCAGCTGCACGCAGCAGCAGCAGCAGCAGCAGCAGCAACTGCAGCAAGTGGAGCTGCAGCAACTGCAGCAACTGCAGCTACTGCAGCAGCAAAACAGCAGCAACTCTACCGCACACGTATTGAGTTGAGCCGCAGATCCTGAGCCTTCAGGGCTCCACAAGTCCCGGACGTTTGGCCGGGGTTTAGGGTTTAGGGTTTAGGGTTTAGGGTTTAGGGTTTAGGGTTTTCCTTCCGTCTAGTGCTGCCAGCATGGTGCGTCTGCGTTCGCTTCTCTCTACATCACAAACCCTAAACCCTAAACCCTAAACCCTAAAGGTGTATTCTTAGAGCCTTACGCCCTGTGGAGTTGGATTTGCCAACGCAAACCCTAAACCCTAAACCCTAAACCCTAATTTGTGGTTTGCATGCAGTGGGACTTAGGACGCAGCATGGCTAGCTTTTGGGGTGGAGGCGTCGGAGACGGAGGTGTTTTTTCAGCGAATTACACCGCTTACCCTGTCTCTTTTGCAGCTAAAGACCATTTAGAAAGCGGAAACAAAAGTAAACCCTAAACCCTAAACCCTAAACCCTAAGCCCTAAGCCGTAGACTTTGAAGGAGAAAATCGGGTATTATCACCTTCACGCAAACTCAATATACACTCTACAAAACCCTAAACCCTAATTGGCAGTGGGAAGAACGGGGAGGGAAGGCTCCATTTAGGGTTTAGGGTTTAGGGTTTAGGGTTTAGGGTTTAGGGTTTAGGGTTTAGGGTTTGTGCAGTTCTGCTACCTCCTTCGGCGCTGCATGCGTTGGCTCGTTTGCACATCTCCTGGCCAATGCACTTTCGTATCTGCAACCCTGCTAAGGCACGTAAACCCTAAACCCTAAACCCTAAACCCTAAACCCTTGGTTTCCACTGCATAGGATTCAAGAAGGAAGAGTCGAAGGCGCCTGGGTGGTCGGCGAGACAGAGAGCTAGGGTTTAGGGTTTAGGGTTTAGGGTTTAGGGTTTGTGGGTGTTCAGGACAAGCTGACGCACTGCGGGGTGCTGGAGTTTGTCTCCGAGGAGGGGACTTGCTATATGCCTTACTGGGTAAACCCTAAACCCTAAACCCTAAACCCTAAACCCTAAACCCTCGGTTTGCTTTATAAGATAAAGCAAACCAGGCCTGCTCTGCTGCCTAAACCCTAAACCCTAATCCCTAAACTCGCATCAAGATTTACGTGCTGCGATGCTTGATTGATTAGGGCTTGGGGTATTATTACAGGGTTTAGGGTTTAGGGTTTAGGGTTTAGGGTTTAGGATTGCGTAGGGTCCCTTGGGGTTTAGTATTTGTGGTTTAGGGTTTACGGATACTGCATTTTAGGGTTTGGGGATTGAGGCGTGACAATGGGCCAAACTTCATTACTAGGGTTTAGGGTTTAGGGTTTAGGGTTTAGGGTTTGGGGTGTATGTACAGATGATGCAAAACCTGCAGCTAGAAGAAGGAGGCATAGTCACCATAACAAATGTGTCGCTGCCTAAGGGGACCTTTGTGCAGCTGCAGCCTTTAGAGACGGAGTTTTTGGACATAAGCAACCCCAAAGCCCTGTAAACCCTAAACCCTAATAAACCCTAATAAACCCTAAACCCTAGCATAAGCGCTCCTAAACCTTATTAGTAGGTATAGATTACAGCCCTTTATAAACCCTAAATAAACCCTCATTGACCAGCGCTGGACATGTGGGGTCTAGCTGCTGGATAAGGAATCAAGAGGAGCATTTAGGGTTTAGGGTTTAGGGTTTAGGGTTTAGGGTTTGGGTCTCAGGCTTGAAATGGCTTTAAGAGGATACGCAGCGCTGACGAAGGGGGAGGTTGTTTCTCTTCCTTTTCTTGATTGTGTCTACCACCTCCTTGTTGCTGTACGTAAACCCTAAACCCTAAACCCTAATAAACCCTAATAAACCCTAATAACCCCTATAAACCCTAGCACACACGAAACCCTTGACAGGATGCTAAACCCTAATCCTTCTGGTGTATTACCCTGGGGGCTTTTGCGCTGCTCGAAACCCTACACCCTAAACCCTAATAAGCCTTAAACCCTAGCAAACTCTAAATCCTAATAAACCCTAAACCCTAGCAACCCCCTCACAGGCATAGTAAGCCCTAAGTCTTACTAAAAGCTAGCTATCCATAAACCCTTGTAAACCCTAAACCCTGAAACTCTAAACCTTGAACGGTGTGAAAAGGGTGTAAACCCTAAACCCTAAACCCTAATAAACCCTATTCCCGAATTACCCCCTCAGAAGCGTAGTAAACCCCAACTAAGGCCTGGCCTGAGCCGTAACCCCTGACACACCCAAACCCTAAACCCTAAACCCTAAACCCT